TACTGCATTTTACGACGGTTTGGTGGATACTTGATATAAGAGTTTTATACATCTAAACCGCGGCCGTCTCCGATCACTCCATGCCAGGAGTCTCAAGCCCTTCGCTGAAATCGAAAGAAAAGCCGTTATCATCATCGGTGTTATGCAAGAAGCTGTCAAAATCAAAATTCTCTAAGACATCAGTGGTCTCGAGACCAGAGAAGTCTAAATTAGAGGCACCGTTAGAGACACTGAAATAAGGGAAGAATTCAGTGCCTGAGCTAGGGGTAACAGCAGGCGCCTGCTGTAGAGGCGTATTCGAAGCTGGTGTAGTTGATTCCGGCTCTCCGCCCTTCGAATTGGAAAGTTCGGGAATGACAAACCCTTCTAGGAATGGATGGTACTTTCGCTTGTGAGATGTCAGGTCACGCTGGCGTCTAAAACCCATACCTTTCCACGCACAATAGGGAACGTGACACTGGAGCCTCAGCATGTGACATGACTCATGCTGTTCTCTCGCCTCGGACGTGAAGAAGCCGCTATCTGCCTGAGCACAATCCTCGTGTCTACAGTAGAAGCTTGCCTTGCCATTAGCGTTGCGGAATTCTGACAGTGATGGAAGATCGATGCCAGCTGGCAAGGCGTCATCGGGTAGGTTGAGTAACTTTTGCATGTCCGCTTCGTACTGGGCGTCGATGGAGCTTAACCACGTAGGGTCGTGCTTTAATCTACTTTGAAAAGCCACTGTCGACAGACATTAACCACATTTTCGGTGTAAAGGGCCTTTCTGCATAAGATGCAGTAAAGTACTAGGGTCCCTTTGCAATGCTGGCAAAGCAAAGTCTCCGGATAAAACCACTTACCGTTCGGGCTATCCGCTTCGCTCTCAAAGTCCTTGAGACTGTCCATAAACCCGATCACTGCTTGCAGCATTTCGAATACGGCCGAGGTCTTCCGCCACATGTCTAGATCAGAGAAGTTGCCAGAAGACATCTCTCGCCTCAGTGGGGCATCTGGTTGTTGTGGTTTGAGTATCCAGCATAACTGAATCATTCTGGCTTCTAGGCTGGATGATGGTGGATGCTGTTGCTGATCCCGTAGGCTTGAAAATGATCTTAAATGTGACAGCCAATTTCTTGACACATAGCGGTGTATGGCACGTTGTCCTTTCACAATCTGGCTTGACCGCTGGAGCTCTGTGTCATTGTGCAAAAATACACTAGTAGTGTTGAGATATGACAAACAGGAATGTGTGATATTTAGTAGTGCTGAGTGGGGTGCAATGTGATATTTGCTCGAAGTATCCAGAAAGTACCTACAGCAATCTTAGCGACCATAAGCTTTTCTGGACTAATTTGGACTTGTCATAGTTACTCTGTGGCTGAGAAATGGATAAATTGAACAGTTCCTGCTCTGGATATTTCAACAAGAGGCTTGCAGAACTCCAAGATCCTTGAATTGACTGTCTTTGGTTCGCAGTCGCACGAGTCGGTTGGGTCCATACCGATAGCATTCAAGATTTCGTATAGCTTCAGCGGCCTGTTTGCGTGCGTGATCCATTCGAGCATGCGAGCTATTTTCTCGCGTGTTGAAGATTCTGGGACTTTCTTTATGTTTTGGACTATGCGATCGTACCTTGTCATAACCGTGAGATATAGCGACGAAATTAAGCGAAAACCTTACGCATCTTGCAGGCTTTCTGGAAGTCGATACACTGCCCCAAGTAGGTCCTCGTCATTCAGGAGATACTGAAAGTGCCCTATAACAAGTTCGACCCAGAGGAACATGCCTAAGTCAGTGAGTTGGACGAAAAATTTGCCAATAGACGGATACTCTGACCATTAGAACGCTGAATTAGCTGCTGTTGAATTTCAGCCGCTATATTCGTAGAGATATCAAGGTCCCATTCTTCGACCACTTGACGAAACTTCCCTCCGATGAAGGCCTCAATGTCGCGTTCAACGGCCAAATGTTCGTCGCGAAGGGAGATTGTGGGGTTTTGACGGAGCTTTCTGCTGATGATGCCATCCTCTCGACTTGAAACTAAGAGGCTGCCGTGTCCTTTGATATCCTTACAAAGTAACAGGAGCTGATCAAGCGCATACTTGTGATCTTTCGCATCGCATTCATCTATTCCATCGATCACGATCCGTGTAAAGGGTGAGGCAGCGATAAGTTTGGGAAGGAATTTCCGTAAGCGTTCGATCGATGGGGTTTCCGCCTTCCGCACGTGAGTCTCCCCACACAAAAGCCGCAAGTTCAGGATCGTGTCGTATTAATTGTGTTGCAAGAGTCCTCAGTATGTGACTACAATTGTTTCGGTCCGCCAGGTAGTGATCGCAGAAATAATACAGAATCGTAGAGTCTGGTTGCTGTCGTAAAGTTTCGATTATGTAAGCTGACATGACAGTCTTCCCTGCAATTTGTTAGGGTGAGGGAGTATAAATTACCCATGGCCCTTAAGCAACAGCTCGGCCTAGCTGAGTTTGGACGAAGATAGAATTGGTCTGGAAGATCAACAAAACTTACCGGGACCTGGTATTCCCCAAAGCCAAAGGACCGAAAGTTTCTTGTACTCGGTAAACCACGACTGATATTGTGGCGTCTTAAAAAGCCATTGGCAGGTGTCAGGGAAGCGTCTGTTATTCAGACGCGACAAATTGTCTTCCTGTAAGCGATCTTCAACTCCCAACCACGATAAAGTAGCCAGTAAATGAGAGCTTGACCGCTCCTCCTCGCTTTTTTCAAGCTCTTTGTTAACCATTTTCCGGTTTTCGCTCGCCTGGACAATGTCAAAAGACGCGGCTTCGTGGTCAATGAGCTCTCGATGGCGAGATAAGCTGCTTAGGATGGCATCAAATCGCAGCTCGAAGTTGTTCCAAAGGGAATCAAACAGGAATTTCCAACCTAGGTAACTGGTTTAGCTAACCTTCTCTTGGCCTAAACCATGACGGACTCACCTCGACGTCTGAAGAACTTGTAAGCCCTTCGATGGAATTCAATAATATCGACGTATACAAGAGCTAGAACGTGTTGAAAATCTGCTTCCGGAAAAGTGTTTCTGTACCTGTCAAAACGTGGTAAAGATTCTGCAATTCTACCGTATGCATCGAGGAGTTTCTCGAAAATGGACGTGTATTCAGCTGCAGGCTACGATGATATAAGTATTAAGGCACCCTCGCCTCGATACCACTCTGCTTCGACTCACCTGAAGCATTAATTTGACAGGAGCCTGCGGGTCCAGCTGATTTCAGCCAAATTGACATCTCGCCGGCAGTGATACTCACCCAAACCCACGGAAGAAATGGAGTCCCATTGCATAGGACATCCATTGGCTTCGAGTATTTTTCGATTGCTTTAAGGAAAGGCTCAATTCTGCGCATGTTACGTAAGAAGCCTCTCTGTCTCTGCCAGTTCTCGATCTCAATGGCAGCTTGCCGTACATGTCGCAGCTCGGTAGAGTGGAAATCCCGTGCATCAACAGGCGTGACAGAGTTCTCGAATCTTTTGAAGGCGGTCTCGATGAGAACCATTGGCGGGAGGACGGCCATCATAGTACAACACCATCTAGGCTGTCCGTTCTGGAACGTTTCACCACTGTTCGCAACTTATTAGATAGTAGCAGCACAATGAGTGTGATGGGAGTAAGATTCCGAATTTCTCCCAGGAGAATATAGACGAGGCTTAGCATAATGAGGCTGTAGAGCCGCCTTTCCGCATATGTTTGCAGATATTGGCGGAGCTCAGCCACGCCCCAAGCCGCCTGTGTACGTTGAAAAGCATTTTCTGAAGCCCAAGAAATTCTGTGCTTCTGCTACTATTGAGTGGATGACACGATGTCACTAACTGCTGGAGCACGTCCAGCAAAAAGACGACGTATTGACCATAACGATGATCATTACCATGTTTCGGCCATTGACCTCGGCGCAGAGTGCTCGCCGCGGGGGCAAGTCCCAAGCTGCAATTATGCGGTGCCGAGTGCAGTCAAATCTCAAGCAACTGAACAATCGCCTCCATCTTATACGGGGGGCGACTATTCCCTCAGCCAGTCCCATCATGGACAAGCTTTCTGTTGTCAAAGATCTGCTAGCAGTGGCCAGGGCGATGTTGGAGGCCCGGATGGAATTCCTCTACCTCTCGATGCCAAAGTACGTGAAGGCTCAGCAGATCATATATCAAGCTTTGATAGATCCGTTGCCGTGCATTGTGGAGACGCTAACGCCCAACACCACAAAGCGGGCCACCCCACAAAGCGGGCCAATTTCGGGTCACCCACAAAAAACCACCCTCAAATTTCTAACGCTTATTACTCCACCAATTTACGTCCAAATGGCCTCAAACCAAGAGCAATTGATTCAGCAGGCGTTAAATGACCTAGATATAGGTGCTGAGAAGTCAATTCGCAAGGTAGCTGCCAAATACAGGGTTTCAAAAACGACTGTGGCTTACCGACGCAGAGGTCGCAACCCACGTACGCAAGCCAATCGCAGGACTCAACGCCTATCCCTAGAAGAAGAAAAAACTCTAATTCAGTGGATTCGAGATCTACAGCGGCAGAATCTATGCCCAAATTACCCTAGAATTCGCTCTTTTGTGTACGAAATCCTGCGAAATCGAGGCGATTCGCGGCCCCTGGGCAAGAACTATGTATCTCGCTTCATTTCTCGCCATTCAGAGCTTCGAACAAGCAGATCTCGAGCTATGGATATTAAGCGCCTCTCTGCGCTTGATCCTACGGTTATAGAGAGCTTCTTCTCTGAATTTGAACAGCTCCGAAGTCAGTATGGCGTCGAAATAGAGAATATCTGGAATATGGATGAAACAGGCTTTCAAATGGGTCAAACAACAAGCAATTTTGTGGCCTATGACGCCTCTATAGGGCGCCCTGTTGCTCCGCAGCCAGATAATACGCAATGGGTCACAATTATTGAGTGTATCTCATATCACCGCGCCCTAAAGCCCTATCTCATCTTTTGTGGCAAGGCACCAGAGCTACATATGTTCCCTGCTATTGATGAGCTACCTGACATTATTTGGGCCTTCTCTCTAAAGGGATGGACTGATAATGAGCTTGGTATTGATTGGCTAAGGCGGATATTTATTCCACAGAGGCCTATAGGCAAGCATTCTATTCTGATTCTTGATGGCCATGACAGTCATTCTACAGGCCTATTTCAGTATCTCTGCCTTCAAAACGACATCCATCCACTCTATCTACCAGCTCATGCCTCTCATAAGCTTCAACCACTCGATTTAGGACCCTTTTCGCCTCTCAAAGCAGCATATGGCCAACTAGTACAAAGATTTGCACTAACAGGCCTTGCAACACTCAACCGCAGAGTATTTACCAAGCTCTATATTGAAGCACGTCAAACTACATTTACTGAGCGAAATATTCGTGCTGGATGGCATCGTACAGGAATTTGGCCTCTAAATAAGCAAAAACTACTCAATGACCCTGAAATTCGAAATTTTGGACGTACTACGCCTGAGTATCAACCCCCAGCTACGTCAGATGGTCTCTATAGCACTCCAAAGCAGAGTGACAATTTACGCGCACTAATTCGTCAAATTGAGGCCAAAACAACGCCTCAAACAAGACGCGCTGTACGAAAGCTTGGCCACAGCGCTATTCAAGAGCATACTGGCGCTCAATTGCTTCGAACGCAGCTCCGAGAGCTACGTCAATTGGCTTTGAAGCAAGAGCTTACCAAACGCTCAAAAAGGATACAAAAAGAGACAAAGCAGCGGTCGTGGAATCTCGAACAGGTCAGGGCTGCTCTAGCGCCTAAAAAGGTCCATTTCGTACGCAAGGAGGGCGGCGAAAAGCGAATTCTGCGTACTGTTACATTAGAATAGGCCTATAGAAGCTATTTCTATCGAAATTAGCCAATTTGAATGAGTATAGCAGCTCTAATGCAGTAGAATTTGGTGTTGTTGCTAACCCGAAATTGGCCCGCTTTGTGGGGTGGCCCGCTTTGTGGTGTTGGGCGTTAGTCAACACTCGGACCAAGTATGTGAGAGACAAACATGCTTTGGAATGGTACGTGTCACAAGATTTTGCGCGTCCCGCTGAAGCTGAAGGGCTACAGTTCATCCTGCATGATATCAAAATACGCAATGCCGATGCCATCAGCGGCGAAACTGCACCTTCACTAGTTGAGGTTGATGGCCACAACATATCGTCGATCGAAATCCGGCGGGCTGAAACCGTACCTGAACTGGGACAGATACAATGTACGCGGAGTGTGAAAATAATTGATCGCCTTCGAAGCGAGGGTGATGTGTCTCTGGAGATATACTGTCGAGGGCGTCATACTATCACTGCCCAGAAGAGGAAGCCGACCGAGGCCCGGATCAATTATGAGCTACTTGTGAATATCTATGGTAAGGCCTACATGTTTGAAAGGGTCGGCAAGTTTTTCGAAGCGGCAAAGATCTACCTTCAAGACCCTGTGTGCTGTGCTCGAGATGTTCCGTACAAGAATCCCCACATTTTGGCCAAAGAAGACGATATTATTATGACTAGTTCGCTGGAATCGAGGCAGCAACTCGAGACATTTACAGCCCCTGGCGACATCTTTGACCACCTACTAGTGACTGACTATCTTCCTGAGGCGCAAACTCCGCAAGCATTGAAAACAACGCTACATAGGTACAACACTCCCGCTTCATAGTACTGCATTATAGACCGCTGAGAAACAGAAAGCCATCAGAAACAAGCACTGTATTTTATGCTGCAAAATGAACGGGGATACGTGACGAACGGAACACTTGAGGGCATGTGGGAAACAGTAGATGGCCAAAAGCCTGAGTATGCCCTACCTCGCTGGCTGTGATCCTTTGTAGCTTGCGTTCATTGACGAGGACATAGGTGGGTCAACCGCATTACTGGTGAACGGCGACTCACACCACCACCGCCATTTTCGGGAGGGATCGTCGCGGATCAGATGGGCCTCGGAAAGACGTTGGAGATGATTTCTCTAGTGGCATCTGATCTTAGAACTTCATCACGTTTCGATGTGAATAGTACTTCGCCGAGTCACACTTCTTTTCGAGCGCCTACTCCCGCAACCCTAGTGGTGGTTCCTGTTTCACGTAAGTACTTTGCCCTTGGCGCAAGCTCCCGTTACTTAGTCGTTGACAGTCCTTTACACCTGGAGGGGCCAGTTGGAAAGGTAGGAGCTTTGACGCAAGGCGATGTTACCCATACTTACCTCTTTAGACATTTGTATCCAGATTCTATGCGTTGGCACATCTTTCATGGACCTAACCGGGAACTGAACTTGAGAAATAATATCGGTTTTGACGTCATTCTTACTACGTACGATGTTGTCGTTGCAGAATACAGGAAGATTGTGAAATTTTCCTGCAATACTTCGATATTCTCTACTTTGTGGCGCCGAATTATCTTGGACGAAGGTTAGTGGAAATCAAAAGCCAGCCCGAAACGGGAGGTTCTGATGATGGAGATCAGCACATTATGTAAAAAACGCGGATGCTCTCAGGACTCGAGCAGTTTGTGCCTTACAAGCCATTTCGCGATGGGCTGTGACCGGAACACCCATTCAGAATCGATTGACCGATCTATATTCGCTGATTCACTTCCTCCAAATCAGCCCATTTGACGACCGAAAAGTCTTCGATACTCAAATACTACGCCCATGGCAAACGAAGTCGGATGTTTCTGCAATCTATAGGCTTAAATTGCTTGTGAAATTCATCGCAATTAGGAGGTCCAAAGCTCTGCTTCAGCTTCCGCCACGTAGTGACCAGATAAGACGAGTGGAATTTTCTGATAAAGAGAGGAATCAGTACGAAGCGCTTAGACTCCGCATCAAAGGCGCTGCTTTTTACGAAAACACATTCCATGGCAGAGAGTCGTATTTCCATGTGCTGCGATGGATCGATGATTTACGAACCCTCTGCAGCTATGGAGCTCAGGCCTTTGAATCTAGATCCAAGGGCTTGTCTGTTCATGGGAACGAGAAATCGGTGCTGCTTGACCAAGAGAATCTCTACTGGAGGGAAGAAGAACAAAATCTTGACCAGGCGGGCTCGCTTTTAGAGCCAGGCTTTCTGCCTAATGCGAACCCTTCAGTGGGTGCATCTCCTGAGCCAGACCAGGGAGTTCAACTGAGAGAATTGGATGATCAAATGCCGCTGGGACTCCCTACTCCTCCTCGCAGCCAACGTTTGCCACTCAAGCCATCACCCGGTTTAGCGATGCCTCCTTCCTCGGAGTTGCAGCACGAGCAAGATGCCTCGACAGGTTTATCCACCAAAATCGCAGCCCTTATGACCGATTTGGTTGCTAACAAGGCGGGCAAAAGGTGATCATGCTCTCCAAACCCGTTACCATCCGAATAGCTGACGGGCGCAGCGTTGTCTTCTCTTTCTGGCGAGCAGCTCTTGACCGGACTTGCGGAGCCTTGATGGCGGCCAACATGACATTTTCATGAATTGACGGTACTATGTCACACAGAGTGCGGGCTCTGGCCGTTGAAGATTTTCGGACCAATCCCAACGTCAAAGTGCTACTAGCCACAATTTCTACTGCTGGTGTCGGGTTAGACTGATCATAATTAGCGTGCGAACATGTGACTGACTAAATGGCCTATAGTATAGACCTGACTGTGGCGAATCAAGTGTGTCTGCTTGAACCGCAGTGGAACCCAGCCACGGAAGAGCAGACTCTAAGCCGAGTACACAGAATGGGACAGACAAAACCTGTGACCACGATCCGGTATGTGATGCGTGATTCGGTTGAAGAGGTAAGTTGGAACAGCGGCTTAAATAGTGAAACTCACTGAGAACTAGAATATCATAGAGCTACAGCAGAGGAAGCTGAGATTAGCCTCCCTAGCCCTTCTGGCGAAAATAACCAAGTCGAGTCTGCACATGTTGAGGTACATTCCACGATTCGCTTGCCACATGTACTGCAGTGCTGATTGCCAACAAAAGGATCTCAAATTGCTGTTGAGGTGACTGGGTTTCGAACATGCAACGAGTACCAGATGCTTCGTACGTTGTGGGATAACTCTCGTGGAGCACAAGGTAGTCCCTCCTCTGGTCCTCGCATCTTGGGTAGGCAAATGCAGTTGATGGGTCGAGACTAGCTTTCACCGTAGGCAGATTCGGCGCGATGAGTTCGTGGTGTAGATGCGCCGGAGAAATCTGCACTATCCCAGAGCATTTTAGACAGGAATAATCATGAATCAATAGAAGCGCAATTTGATCTATACGCCATTCAGCACTGCTGCCTGAATGCAGGTTTGTGAGTGAGTGTCATTTGTTGAACTAAAAAGGCTTGTGATGGACACGATTACGGCGGACTATTACGTGCTAGAGCCCAGGCTCTAGCACGTAATAGTCCGCCGTACACGATCATCTTTCTGAAAGTTCATTGCACCACAATTTGCGCCGAAAATTTAGCCGAAGCAAGTCAACACATTAACAGCACGATTTACCGGGAGGAGTAGCTCGGCCTTGCCAAGCTTTACCCTTACTACATAGCTGTCCGGAGTGTTTGTGAAACCACCAAGAGAGGATACCCTATAGCTTCACTGCTTTTTATCACCTTAGTAAATCTTCCCTGTGTCGGGCAAGTGCTCGTAATTCTTGCCGCCTTCGTCTAGCCTCTTCTGGCAAGCAGCAAACATACTTGCAATCTATGCGCCAACATGATTCTAAAGCAAGAGAATGAGCGGAGCAATCTTTCAATCAGAGCTGTCAAGCCTGATACAAGAGTCAAAAAGAAAGCATCTAGACGTCAGAGCTGCAGCAGAGAAGTCCCTTGGTGAGCTGAAGGCCCTTCGCATCACTTCCGAGGCACAGCTTGCCGCGGATCTGCTTCGCAAGCCATCTTTCGTCGAGCCTTTCATTCTTGCATGCAAGTCACGCAATACAAAATTAGTCTCCAGCAGTGTTATATGTCTACAAAGGCTGGCAGCGAGTCATGCTCTGCCCCCTGAACAACTCAAGGATGTTCTTGAGGCACTTCGAGAAGTGACTTCTTCTGGCTTCGATGTACAGATCAAGATATTACAAACACTCCCATCACTCCTTCAGACTTACGCTTCTGACTTATACGGAGGGCTTCTGTTCACTTGTCTTGACATTTGTGGAGCTTTACAGAGCAGCAAAACCACAGTTGTGAGCAGTACAGCTTCTGCCACTTTTCAGCAACTCGTTTCAAGCGCATTCGAGAGAATCACCGACGAGGATGCTGCTGCTGACTCGGATACGGTGAGGAAAGTCAGCATCGGAGCTGGAACTGTAAGGCTGAAGAAAGCTGCGTCTGATGGCTTCGATATCTTCAGTGACCTTTGCAGCATTGCGGACGGTGTGGGAACACAACGTCTAAATCCCAACACCATACCTCTGGTCTTTGCTCTTGACATAATAGTCACCGTCCTGGAGAGCAATGAGAATGTATTCCAGACTCATCACGAATTGCTGTTCATCTGTCGGACTAGACTAGCGCCTGCCCTCCTCCGACATATACCTGCAAAACATCCTTTTTCTGCCACTATCAGGTCATTAAGAGTACTCTATCAATTGATCAGTCGGCAATTCGAGCATCTTCAAGAGGAGAGCGAGAAGGCTTTGGACCTCCTAATACATCTTCTTGAACTGGAGGCGTCACAAGGCTGGAAACGTGCAGCCTGCATGGAGCTTCTGCGTAAACTCGTTCTCAACTTCCCTTTGCTCCGCCAAATCTTCCTCACCTTCGATCTGCAGGAAGATCGTAAAGATATTGTCAGTAAACTTATGGCAGCACTTGCCAAAATTGCTGCAGAGAAACCAACAATCATCGGCCTGAGTCATCAATCAACCATGCCGGCTCGACAAATTGATAGTGAAGAAGATAGACCAGAGCAAGCTCCCCTGGAAGCAGCAGGAGTGGAAGGTATCATTGGAAGCACTGTTACTGCAGAATCTCACATCACTGGCATTGGTAATGCATGGAGCCTGCCGAAGACGCCATGCTTGGAACAGCTTGACAAGAATGACGCTTCCGATTTGCCGGAAACCTATATCTATAGCATGGTTCTTGACTGCATATATTCATTTTCTGAAGGACTGGCAAAATTTGTTATGCCACTGAGCCTTACTCGTAGTGCGAGAAAGAGGGGCCAGGCGCAGATCGATGAGCAATTCCAGGACGGCAATGACAGAAATGTCAGTTCTGAAGAGAGCAGAAGCGCGGCAGCAACTCCGGTTCAGGAGCCACAGAAAGTCTTGAGGCCAGTCAGTGCCTTGAAACTGACATCAAATTCACAATCTGAATCAATCCGGACGGCTGCGGCACTTGTCACTTTCTGTTGGCCGGCATTTCTGGCCACTTGCGCGACATTCCTCAACGCCGCGCTAGATGCAGAATTGTATCACAACCTAGTTCGAGCAGTCCAGAAGTTAGCGCAGGTTGCTGGCGTATTAGAACTTTCAACGCCGAGAGATGCACTTTTGACAACTCTATCAAAGGCCGCTGTTCCTCCTCAAGCCCTTCAAATTGGTCAAAATACAAACTTTGGCAAAACTGAACGATACTTTGCGACTAAGAGTACTGAGCAGGCAGAATTAGTTGCCACCCAATCTGTCAGCGCGTCTGTTATAGAGAGCCCAGTCTCGAACAAAGCAAGTGTATCAATACTAACCACGCGCAACCTTCTGTGCGTGCGAGCACTATTGCATCTTGGTATAGCTTTGGGACCAACGCTCAGCGAACAAGCATGGTTTATTTTGCTAGAGACACTACAAGAGGCAGAGCGTCTCATCATGTTATCCTCGAGATTACAGGTAAATCAGAATAGGAAGCTCGCAGATGACGTGTCAAGCAGCAAAAATGGTACTAGCCCGTTGAATCTAACTGGTGAAATTGTTGCGGTTGAGACGGCTTCGAAGAAGATGTTTGCCACTTCCAGCGATTATGAAAATGATGCTTTCCTAGGTCTCCTCAGAGCACTCTTTAGTTTGTCTACCTCGACCGGGTGCATTGACGACCGCAAAGATGTTGCTAGCTCAAATCCTAACCCAGCTCCCCGGCACGTTGGGCGTATCCATCAGTCATCCCGGAGCATATCAGGGACTTCAATCAAGGCGGCCACAGAAGACAATGAAGTTCTTTTTGTATTAACCAAGACCAGTGAGATAGCAAAGTCAAATCTGCAAAGACTAGTCACACAGCCTGCAAACTCTAGTGGCTGGTCCTTGATTACTGCTAGGCTTCTGCAGGTGGTGAGGTCGACCTTCACCCTTGCCGACATACGATTACGAGCTGCAAGTCTTCTGGACACAGTTGTCCTTGGCACGCTACAAATCTTGGATGAGCAAGATGAGCAATTGCAGAGAGTTGTTCAAGAGCGAGGTGTGTTAGTTTTGAATAGTCAGGTTGAGGGCCTCTACCAGCAAAGCACATCTTCATTGTCCGAGACTAGCAGCGTGGATCTCGCTATCCACGAACGTGCAATTGAAGCCCTCAGCTCCATTGTTGAGCACCATGGAGAAAATCTGCTTATCAGCTGGGAGATGATCTTCAAGCTGGCTGGAACTAGCTTTGAAGAGCGCGCACCACCATTCGACAGCGACATTCAGGATGATACGCAAGCCACAGAAATACGCTCTAGAAGCGTAACTCTGACATCAACCGCGTTTCGGTTGCTACAACTGATCGGTTCTGACTTCCTAAATCTCGTGCCACTAAATCATCTACTTGACTTTATAGATATTCTTCTGCTCTTTGGTCGCCAACATGATGATCTGAACGTGTCACTGACAAGTACAACCTTCTTCTGGAACTTGGCAGACTTTTTACATTCGAGTCCAAATCACCCTTCGTTGAGCGGGTTCTCAGATGTACCTACCGAGGAATTCCTGCTTGGGAAGGTCAATGGCAGTAAAAACCCCGCAGATGTTATCGATTCGCTTTGGCTCGTGCTCCTTTTGCGCCTCAATGTCTTGACGGTCGACCCCCGATTAGAGATGCGCAAGGGCGCCATTCGGGTTATGCTGCGTATATTGGATGCATCTGGGCCATACCTTTCCCCTCGAGGCTGGTATATCTGCCTGACCACCGTGGTTGAGCGTCTACTCAAATCTCATGCTTTATTACTCAGCAATATGCGGAAAGAAGGCTTACAAAATGATCCGACGATGTGTGATGAGTGGTATGCCTCGACAGTCGCTGTGCTAGAAGGTAGCATAAACCTTGTCTGCCATTTTAGCTCAACTATAATCGCGGATGAGCATTTCCATTTATTCTGGGAGCAATTCTTTGATCTCCTCGGATCCATTCTCACTAATCCATCGCTTGCAGTATCGCTTGCAGTATTTCGTGGCGTGGCATCACTGTTCTTGTCTCTCGGAAAGGCTGACTACCGCAATGTCCTCACCGCCGAGGCGGCCTTGAAGCTTTGGATCAACCATCATCCAGCAAACGTTGTGGACCACTTCCAGATTGAGAGTGTTTCGACGAAGAGTCATGATTCAAATGAGGAGGCGTTTACAGCGCATGCGGAAGCGTTAGTTCGGATTAGTGAAGCACTACCATCAGTACAGCTAGGTCAGATTGCTGCAGAAGACATAATGAAGGCTCTAAGAAAGACAGTACTACAATGTGTGCATCTTCCTTACGGATCTGACGTTCAGAAAACGGCTCCTGAGCAGGAGAGTGTAATAAGTATTCTTCAGCTCCTATCAAGGACTGAGACTTCCAAGAGCACAGAGTATTTCAAGATCCTGTTCGACTTCATCAAGGTCGCCTGCGAAGACGAGACTGAGCTGGAAATGGATCCATCCTTTGACTGGCCGACTAAGCAAGGTCCAACCTTACTTAACGCTCAGAGCCTGTCGTTAGTTGCTTTTGCTTCCAAGTGCATTGACATACTCGAAAACAATGTGATAAGAGCGATTCAGGAAGAATCACTGCTGAACACGTCACAGACTGTATGCTCGGCCATAATAGCCTTGTCTAACACCGTTAAGTCTAAGTACACGGCAAAGGGTCAGCGTGGAGACCCGTTGATTTGGCGTAAGGCCACGGTTTCCGGACTTACAATTGTTGAGGCAGTGGGCTTGCGCAGCTACAAAATCATGGACAAAGAGGAGTTGCTTGCTTTGAAAGAGATCTATGGCTCAGCTGTTGAGCTAGCCAATGGCATTCTCGCCGCTGGTGGCCTGGTGAATTTGGAGCGACCTCCTGAAGACAGTGTCATACTGGCAGACGAGGAGCACGATATAGCAGCTTTCAGACGTCTGTCGTTGAGTTTGATACCAGCATTGACCAGGCTAAAGGAACTTCAAGTTGCAGCTCCTCAGCGAATGCCTTCTGACATACACCGCCGATTTGTTATCAGCCTCTTTCACGCCTCTATGGTTGCTACTCCACAATTCGCCGACCTTCCGTCAGATCTCTTCTCCTCTCCTCTATCCTCATTTTTGCGGATTCGCCCAGGCACCATCAAAGAGCTCGCTTACCACGCTCGAAGCAAAATACCATACCTAGCTCTTGACACGATGTTCAAGCTCATCGCAGCACTCGATGATGACACCATGCAAGACGCCGCTAGTGTCGCAGGTCATTTGGAATTCGCCAAGATAGTCGCGCCTTACGTGCTTCTCCGAGCCGCCCACACTTTCAAGTCTTTCGTCGCCGATCAGCCGCTTCGGGGACCAATGCCAATGCCGTCGAAGCTCCGTGCAGAGATGCTACATGTGCTCAGATTATGCCTTGAGCTTCGATCAGAGGATGGAGCTTTTCTTGGCAAGCCAGGATCGCATACCTGCCTTGGTCGAGATGGTAGGAGACATCTGAGGGTGCTGTATCCGCTCATAGTCCAAATGTGGAAGGTTTGGAGAAGGGTGCCTCGGTATGGATTTCCGTGGATCGCTGACTCGGACGGTGTGGAGATTGAAAAATGCCTTCAGCGCTGGGTCGAAATCTGTGGTGAACACTGGGAGCTTGCGAACCTCGAGTCATGATATAGTATAGGCAAGATTTCAAGACTTTCAAGCAATTAAAGAAGCAGACTTCAGCCACGAGTATTCCACGTTCAATCGTGGTGGCACTTCTGCCCTCCTAAAGTCATTCATTTGTGGAACAGAATCCGTATCTGATCATACCATCATGCCATCCAGCGAGTTCTTGAACGTCTGCAGGTTGCCCCTACCATCATCCAGGACTGCAAATACCACATCTGACCACCAGCCCCCACCAAACTCTGCTTCCTTCAGTACGGAGGCCCACATGTTCACAACCTCATCCTTCGGATTCGCAAATGCTCCACATCCGAATGCGCCCAGCACTAGCTGTCTATGACGATTCCTCGCCGCTATCCTCAGGATGACCCGCATCTTCTCCTCCATCAGTCTCTTATCCTGACCCAACCTGTATGTGAGAACCCCATTCGCACCCGCCGTTGTTTGAGGCATACAGACAGCAGCGACACTTATCGCAGATATGACGGGCAACGCTGCTGGGTTCCTCAAATCGAGGAGATCGTGGCCAGATTTCATGTTATTGCGGATGACCAGAACGTATGGAGAGTAAATGCCTCCTTTGGCAGGGAGAGGGTAATAGTGACGTTTGAGCGTCCTTGATAGCGACGTACGATAGCAAAGCGCTTCCTCCTGTGCAAGAGCACCGTGCTGCCAGCCACCGCCTGCTGAATTTGCATTGGCCATATTAAGGACGCAAGGGTGTCGATTATTCATCGCCGAGGAGCCAAGCGCGAGAGCAGCGTCGATGCTGTCGGAATTTATGACTCTGACCTTTGTAGCAGGGAGACCCGGACAGTACTTCTTGTCCAGAATCGGCGCATCCCCGTCTGTGTAGAGGTAGCCTTTGTCTGGGACATCGGGTCGAGTCGCAAGCAGACCGGGAAGAAGAGTCTTCGTCTCCGCTGCGATCTCTTTCAATGGTTTGCGCGCCGCATCACTGCGTTTTGTTGGATTCGTGAGCGGTTTTCGAGTAGAGAGGTGTCCATCGCTGCCCAAGGAGAGTAGAGTCTGACGCTGTTGTCGCTTCTTCGCTTTGTCCTCAACTTGCCCTGACTTTGACTTTTCATTCGATTCGAAATAAGGAGATGATGCACCGTCATCATGCTCAACGTCATCAATTCTGTCCTCATCCTTCTTCCGTCTCGTCTCGGGGTACAAATTGATGTACAAATTGATGTTGCCGTGCGAAGTGCTCTCGCGTTGGTCGGTCATCTTTGCTGAGCACTCTCTATCTGGGTCCTAGGAAGCTTATAGGTAAGATTATGAGAGTGGATAATATGAGGGCGTCTTTAATCACTTCTTGTATGAGAGGGCGCATGGTTGATTGCTAAGCGACGACTTTTTTTCAGGCGCCTCGAGCGTTGAAGTGTTCTTGTTGCCTACCAGTAGTGAATTGACTGTAACCGCAGGCAGGAAGCGGTAAGCATCATATAGAGTCCCTCAACCTCACAATGCATATTTTATCGATCGTTTAGCTACTGTAAATGACTACTACGGTAGGAGGCATAGTAAATGTAACCCCCGCTCTAGTAACAGCTTGTAACGCCAAGATAGAACGCCACAAAATCGCTCAATTAGGACTAATCTACCATCTATCTTACATCGAGCGTGCATCCCATTGGCATCTATAACTACCTGGCATCTTGCTGGCATTGATTGATTAGAGTAGTTGTAGAATAAGATAAGACTAATTGAGAAAGCTTAACGCATCGAACGCGGTAAATGACCCTCTAGGGTGGTACATCATTCGTACAAGCGCGGTAAGGGTATCTGTATGAAGGTTATTAATAACAATTTTTCTCGTAGAGAGGGTTACATTTAATATGCCTCCTACCGTAGTAAGTGGTTAGTGCAAAAAGATGCTGGAAACCCCCAGCAGAACCATTTAAAACGCAGAAAAGGTTCAGGTTTTCACTCTCCATGACTTTGAGAATGCGCCAGCAGAACTCTTCATGGTACCCTTTGCTCTGGCATAGCGGTCAAACTTGTTACTAGCCGAGGTCACCCTAGTCAGGATCCATCAGAGCCATACTCCATACCCCATACTCTATTACTATGCGAGCCGGTGGTTACAAACCTCTAGGACGTCAGCATCAGATGCATGCTGGCGACAGAAGCGATCGCTAGCTGTGTAGACTTAGCAACGTTTGCACAGACATGGTATCATTAACAGGTTGCTCATCTTGGGACACAGGTACTGCGTTTGGCTGTTTCGCAGCTGCAATGGCGAACAAAGCGCAGGCTTACAACAGGCTTTGAAGTGTCTGAGAATTTCGCGAATAGCATCTGAACTTGCAGATTCTACACTGAGTTCTGCTGTTTCTTATGGAATTTTCGTTCTCACGTTCGTCGTAACATCCCCATTCAACTCGCGCTCTGCTTCTAGGTTGCTTTCAACGAAATCCGCACCTTCATCTTCCTGTCCAGGATCCGTGCAGTTTCCTCAATGGTTGGATCAAATCATTTTCCCCTCAAGTCTTTCCCTGCATCATTGTTTGATTCGTCCCTTTCTGGAGGTTGTGGATACCACTCAAAGTCTGGATCCTCCCAGTCGTGTGAGAAGTCAATGCTCTCAAAGATCGTGCCCGTACTGTCTTCTGTATCAAAGAAGCAGAAATGACAAGTGCCTTTATTTCCCATCCAAACACCCTCCATGGCGGGTTCATACCCTCTTTCACGCATCTGCCTCTTGCGTTCCTGCATGGGTATATTCTCGCAGTCAAAAGCTATATGCTGAACACCTTCTTTGCCGCCTCTCTTCAGATTTCGGCCGCAGCCTAGCGTTAGCCATATTGCACATATATAACACGTGTATCAAAAAGAGTACTTCTACTACGACAAGAACCTACCTGATCCAAATACTCAGCCATCAAACTCTCACCAGCCACTGGCTGCATGATCTCGAAAGTCAGACTTCCCTGTTTGGCAAAACAAACTTTCAGCTCATACGAGCCCGGGCTACCGCGAAATGATCGTTCTGGCACGGTGGAAGAAGTGAAGTCAAAGACTTGGAAGGGACCGATACCAAGCCGGAGAAGCCCATCCATGGTTTTCTTGTGGTCCGGCGTCACGATGCAGACTTCGGCGATGGAGCCTAGGAACGGAGTAGGTAGCTTCTGCATGGCTATTTGGCTATATTGATGCCACAGTTATGTAACTTAAAAATAGTCAAGTTCAAGGAATAGCCTGTGTAGTCTAATTGGTATAGATGGTAGTGTGTCATCCTCAAGCATGGTACTTCAGCATTCATACTACGTACTATCCACCAAAGTCCGGTAAAATGGGGCATTTTTCTAATTGGTCCAAATTTGGCAGTAGCCTCTTTTAGTGCCCGTAACCTTAAACCTTAGTTTTTGCGGTACAACACCATAGCTGTGGCAGCGCAGTAGGAATAGAGTAGATATCAAGAACTCAATGACTCAAAAGCATCATCAAGAAGAGATATCAGGGCCTCTAGATACTATAGAAGCTGCTCCATTAGCTAAAGATCTGCCTCGACCGAAGAGAGCTCGAATTCAGAGTCGAAAAGCCCTCGAAAATCAAGCTCAAAATCAGTCATTCGAAGTACCTTCCTCAAAGTCTACCAAAGCTGCGGCACAGCCTACCCACGTACAGAATTCGTCGATTTTGAGCTCCTCACGCTCGAACGAAACGTACGAAAACCTGCGACAGCTACCAAATAGTCAAAATAGCTCTAAAAGAAGTGATACAAACTCACAGGGTAGCGGGGGGGGGTGCGGGGGGGACGGTGGGGGGGAGTCGACTCGAAATAAGTCAGAAAAGCTACAAATTCTTTGCAAAGTTATTAGCTCTCCTCGTCCTTATCCTGAAAAGCTTAACGTTCTGAAACCGCCTGCGCCAGGTCGAGTTCTACTACCTCCTCATAAATACACGCTAATTGATCTATTCTATCGATTTATTCCGAAAGAGCTATTTACGCAGATTGCGGAGCATACTAACGAATACGCTTTTGACGAACAATCAGAAGGATTTCAACAAACGCGACCAGTATGGAGAGATGTAACTTCTACAGATATTGGAGGCTATATCAGAGCCATACTTCTAATTGGCGTTTAATCAGGTGGCAGAAGCGTTTGATACTACTTCAATCAGAATAATAATTAGCTAACTTAGCCAGTTGCTGAATACATCTCTTGAGAGCGATTTCAGCTAATTACAAGATATCTCAAGATTAATAGACCAGGGCCTGTTGCTGACGATCAATGGTATCAAAAAGTTAAGCCTCTTGCTACAAAATTTCGTGAAGTAACAACGAAAGAGATATATTAATTATCACAAGATCTCTTAATTGATGAGTAATTGATTAGTTTTAAAGGCTGTTCAAAGCACATAATTCAGATGAATACGAAGGCCGCTGGCGAGGGATACAAGATATATAGCCTTTGTTGCTTTAACAGCTATATAATCAATTTTAAATTCAGCAGCGCTATTAAGAGAGTAGCTGAATTAGGAGAGTACTCTGATTTCTCTCAAAGTAAGGCAGTTATACTTGATTTTGCGCATTTGCTTTTAGAGCGCTTTCCACGACCAAGGCCCTTTTATATCTTACATCTTGATAACTTCTTTACTACTCGCAAGCTTTATCAAGAGCTGTATAAGCTTGGTATTAGCGCCAACGGCACAGCAAAAGCAGGGTCAGGGATACCGAAAGAGCTAGCATATCTCCGAGATGCAATAACAAAGCAAAATGACTATAGAGAGTGGTTTAATTGGGTTGTTGGTAGCGTTAACTGTATCGCCTTTTGCGACTCAGCATCTAAAGCAATGATGACCACAGTATACGACCCTCTTGTTGACGAATGCGTCTATTTCGATGCTGTTAAACGCTGTGGTGCTTCTCTGAAATACGCCAAATTCGCAGAATCTCTTGATACTACGAATTCAGCACCCTCTGCAAATTTTGCGTTTTCTGTTAATTTAACGCTGCTTACGCGCTCTGCAAATTCTGCGAATTTTACGTCCTCTGCGCCCTCTGCGAGTTCTGCGTCTTCTGCAAATTTTGCTAACTCTATAAGTTCTACGCCTTCTGCCCTGCCTGCGAATTCTACGCTGTCTGCGCCCTCTGCGCCCTCTGCGCCCTCTGCGCCCTCTGCGCCCTCTGCGCCCTCTGCGCCCTCTGCGCCCTCTGCGCCCTCTGCGCCCTCTGCGCCCTCTGCGCCCTCTGCGCCCTCTGCGCCCTCTGCGCCCTCTGCGCCCTCTGCGCCCTCTGCGCCCTCTGCGCCCTCTGCGCCCTCTGCGCCCTCTGCGCCCTCTGCGCCCTCTGCGCCCTCTGCGCCCTCTGCGCCCTCTGCGCCCTCTGCGCCCTCTGCGCCCTCTGCGCCCTCTGCGCCCTCTGCGCCCTCTGCGCCCTCTGCGCCCTCTGCGCCCTCTGCGCCCTCTGCGCCCTCTGCGCCCTCTGCGCCCTCTGCGCCCTCTGCGCCCTCTGCGCCCTCTGCGCCCTCTGCGCCCTCTGCGCCCTCTGCGCCCTCTGCGCCCTCTGCGCCCTCTGCGCCCTCTGCGCCCTCTGCGCCCTCTGTGCCCTCTATAAGGCCATTTCTAAGGAAGCTGTATCCTCTTGAACGCTATAACAAGGAGATGGGCGGCTCAGATAATCATGCAAAGCAGAATAGCTTCTATACAACATCTCGACATTACCACAGGCGCAACTGGTTCCCCTTATTCTTCTTCCTTATTAACGCAGCTGTTACTAACGCTTATATTCTATATAAGCTAGCTAATAAGGGTAGAGAGGATAGAAATAGCAAGAGGATCAAAACACTCTCGCATACAGAATTTCAAGAAGAAATTGCGAAAAATCTACTCCGCGGACCTGGAGCTATTCTACGGCAGCGACGCCCAAGGCCACCCCAAAAGAGCTGCGCTCTACACGCTAAATCAGTACGAAAAGATAGCTACAAAGGGCACTCATGGGTCAAATTGGATAATTATCGCCGCTGCCAGGTCTGTGATCCAACTACCAAACGAGGCAGGCCACCAATTGCCCTCAGTGAGAGGCCCGTCAATGCCCCTCACAAGGCGCCAAGAAGCAAGAAAGGCATTCGTCACTCCATATGGTCCTGTGGTAAATGCAATATCCCTATTTGCTACAAATCGCGCTGTTGGGATAGGCATTTACCACTCTCATAGTAAATCTGAGGAGTTTTGCTGCTGTTTGTTGTACTTCCTAATATGGTTAGCTCCAAATTAAATAAGGTTGTCATCCTCGTCTCTGATTAGTCCATGATGAATTAAGCTCGTCTTGGCGCTCCATAATATCATCCAATCAGCAACTCTGTAAAATGCCCCATTTTACCGGACTTTGGTGGATAGTAGTAGATGAATTTCGGGCGTCCGGGCTGCGGTCGGATCAGCGAAGCTTAACTTTGCTATCGATAACTTAGTAAGAATTTGGCAATTATTTCCCCGCAATATATTTTGACGCTTTTTGCCATCCGATGTCGCCACGGCTGCCTACGAGGTGAACAATACAATTGATGCTGAGGGAGCCACAATCACAGACTCGTGGTGTCCAATCTCTCACACCAGGACACGACGTGTCTTACTCTTTTCACGACCCAGATCCTAGAGACATCCCCTGACTGTTCAATCCTCCTGCTATCCAGTCGCCTGCGCCTTCCCGAGCATGAGCGCAATCCTCTCTGCGGATGACCTTAACGATTTCATCTCGCCAAGTGTAGCATGCATAAAGCCTGTTGAGACATTGCCCAAACAAAGAGAACAGTTGCCTTCCTACGAGGTCACCACCGAAGACAAAGTCCAAGCGGAAAACCCTCCACCCGCCTCAATATCTCTCACAGACTGTCTCGCCTGTTCAGGCTGCGTAACCTCGGCCGAAGCTGTCCTTATCTCTCTCCAGTCGCATACTGAGGTGCTGTCCACGCTCGATGCGCATCCTTCTCTTGATGTCCGAAAGCATGTGCAAGGGTCTAGCAAGCCCCACTCGAAACTTTTCGTAGCAAGCGTCAGCCCCCAGGTACGAGCGAGCCTGGCTGCAACATACCAAATTTCGGAAAGACAATCGGGATACATGATAGACCAGCTGCTGTGTGGACCGCATGGACTACGGAGCGGAGGACAATACGGAAGCGGTTTCACCTACGTGGTAGACACGAATCGCATGCGAGAAACGTGTCTTGTCCTGGGTGCAGACGAAGTCGCACAATCACTGACTGGCGGAAGCACCGCTGCACGTCCTGTTCTGACCTCAGCATGTCCTGGTTGGGTTTGCTATGCCGAAAAGACACATCCACATGTCCTGCCACACCTGTCCAAACTAAAATCACCACAAGCATTGACGGGCACATTACTCAAATCTGTTCTGAGCAAATCGCTTGGCATTCAACCTTCACAAATCTGGCATCTAGCGATCATGCCTTGTTTCGACAAGAAGCTTGAAGCCAGTCGCGAGGAACTGACTGATCGATGGTGGGCGAATGACCAGGACACGGATGCCTCGACCTTGCCCGTGAGGGATGTAGACTGCGTGATCACATCTCGCGAACTCCTGACTCTCGCAAACGACCGAGGTATCAACCTGCCGTCTCTACCACTTACACCTCTCCCAAAAGAATACCGCATTCCCTTCCCAGACTCCACCATCTCTAGATTTCTCTTCCCCAAGTCTCGGCGGCGTCACTATGAACACCACGACCTGGCTCAATCTTCCGCGGGCGGCACATCAGGCGGCTATCTGCACTACATCCTTACATCACAACAAGCTCGACACCGCGGCAGCACGATACACACCCAACGAGGCCGCAACGCCGACGTCACAGAGTTCACCCTCCTCTCCTCCACCCAAGAACCCCTGCTCAAATGCGCAAGATTCTACGGGTTCAGAAATATACAAAATCTAGTCAGGAGGCTGAAGCCGGCAAGGGGGAGCAGATTGTCTGCTGCTGCTGCGAGGAGGAAGGAAGGGATTGGCACTAGAAAAGATGATGGGGCCGGCGAGTATGCTTATGTAGAGGTCATGGCTTGTCCAGGGGGGTGTACCAATGGAGGTGGGCAGATCCGAGTCGACGAGGCCATTGCACTGCAGAGCGCAGCCCAGCGAGGAAGGGAGCTTGAGGGGGAAACGGATCATGCCGGGAATGGAGCGGGATTATCGCAGAAGGACTGGCTGAGGAGGGTTGATTCGGCGTATTTCTCGGCGCACTCGTCCGCCTCTTCGGACGCGGAATGCGACGGAAGCGAGATCAACTCGCAACCTGGTGATCCTAACGACGACGACGACCTTGACCCCGATCGTGAGATGCACGACCCCAACTTCGCCTCTGACCACGCGCTCGACCCTCCAACACCCAGAGACCTCCTCACCTACTGGTCCGCCTGCACGTGCATCCCGCTGGAAAAGCTGGCCTACACCACTTTCCGCAAGGTGGAGAGCGATGTCGGCAAAAGCAAAAAGGGTACGGGTAGTCGGCCGGGAGAGACGGAGGGAATCGCAGCGTTGGCAGCGAGTATTGGTGGTGGCTGGTGATGGTGATGGTGCTGAGAATAGGGATACAGAGCCTTGAGGGTATTGAAAAAGAAACTTAATTTTCCAATCATGCACATTTGACTCATGGCCAGTTGAGTTGCGGATGCTGGATGCATGGCTGTTGGTAGGTAGATGGTTACCTGCATTTTAGAAATTGCTGGCCTGGCATGGCATGGCCTGGCCTGGCCTGTCTTGTGGTTTTTTCTCGGGTACATAGATAACCTTTGGGATTTGGCGGTAGTAAGCAAGCATGTGGGATTGGGGGAAAAGAAGGGGGGGTACCGGGACTTAGGACATCTACAGATATGGCATTGGTGTTATCACCAACTCTGGTACCCTTTTGCCATATTCACGGTTTTAAGTCAAACCAGAGAGGTAGGGAAAGGGTGAAGGGGAGGTTTCGCTATCGCTTTTTCTCTCGATCCAGGATTGGGAGAACTAGGTACTAGACCTATTTTTTAAACGCTACCTGTGGACGGTTAAACCACAATAACAACAACAACAACACACTTGATTCCAAATAGGAAACAGGGACGGCGGATTGGCCAAAACAGGTAATGTGGACCAAGTTGGATTAAAGGAACAAGGGGGAGTGGGAGATGTTGAAGAAGGGGCCGTTATGGGTTTTTCCCCTCTTCCGTCCCGTGCCGTGGATTACTGTGAATGGTCGGCACTTTGGTCGGCGGAGGTAACAACAACAAACCAACAACGGTTGTCGATTCTTTTGACGGAGATGGAGATAGGGACGGGATGAAGCAAGTTTTTCGGCCCGATCTGGTCTGGTCTGGTCTGGTATGGGCATTCTGTATTGCACTTCTAGTTCGTGTCCAGGACTAGATTGACACTTCTGCTCGTTTACCACAACGGAAAGAGGGTGGTGTGACAACACGGTGGTCTTAGGCTATGGACGTACGCGGACTGTCTACTCGAGCAAGTCCGAAACCCTGAAAATATTAGAGTCCTGCCTTCCATTCAGGCCAGGAACCTATGAGGCTCTCACGATCCGCGTAGGACCTGCTGTGTAAAGCTCGCTTCGCTAGCAGAGCGCTTTGGCAAGCTTGCTCCTCACTCTTGCAGGAGATAGCGTCGTTGGAAATACGAGACTCGGACTGATCCGAAGACAGGCGCAAATCAGGTGGTGCGCTTCGGCGAAGCCATCGCCAGATCAGGCTAGATGGGTGTGGGTGCAGGAATGCAGTTTTGAAAAATTCCCATGAGGTCTCTCGTATCTGCATGCAGCTCAACTGGACAAGTGTAACACTGCCAACTTGTGTGCGACTCGGAGGTGCCCAGTGCCCAGTGCCCAATGCTGCAAGCTGTCACGCGCTTTGCAAGGATCAGGATAACTTTTGAAGAACCCAATTAGGCAGGCACCAGCGGTGTCTGCGTTGGCAAGCTCCCACCGATGCTCGGTGGGGCTATTGCGAGGGCACGGGCCTCCTCGGGGGCTTGTCGATAGAGCACGATCTCTGATTGCTTGAAGTAGCGACGAGCATCTAGGAAAGGTCAGCCAGTTTCTTTCACGTCAATCGCATTGATGCTGGTGGAGAGGAAGAGGTGAGATTGCCAGATGTTTTAGTGTGGGGTTTGGGTAGCTGTCAGAACCAGAATGCTGGGGCATCGGGCATATTGTTAGGGAGCCAAGAGTTAACCAGCCGAGCCCTCAAGAAGCCGGGGGCGTCGGAGCCTCAAGCTTGAGTAGACGGCGGCTGAGACAGTGGTAGCTCCGAAGGCAAAATCGCTAACAATCAGTACTAACCTTCATCTATCAACACTAGACTCAGGTAGTATCTGGTGGAGTATTTCTTGTTGACCTCGCGGAAAGTTGGTGTCAGGTCAAAGCCGCCGAGGAACAATCGAATCGGTATCGTCTCTCCTAGTTCAATATCAGTGAAAGGAAATAGCGACCCACTTCTACTGAGGCAGTAATGACAAGGGTAGCTTGTGCTGTGCCCAGCGTGCATGGAAACTTGTACAACATGTATCTTACCTCTAGAAGGCGAGCCGTCCATTATCTGCACGACGATTAGTATACCACCGAGAAAGGCCGAGAAGGCATAGTTCCATACCTCAAAGCGCACCAAGGTCTCGCTTTCGTTGTATTGATTTGGCGCCACGCCCGTCGTCTCTCGTCGGATGATTGATAACTCCATGTGCTTGATCTTGAGCCGGACAAGTAGAAAGTATATCCTGCCTACAATCACGTCCTTCAGATGGTATTTGCTCTTGGAATACTCAAACTCAATATGTAGACAATCCTCAATGCCCACATCCATCTTAATCGAGCTGTTGGTTTCTGGAGGTATGCGATAAGAGTAAACCCAGATATCCTTTTCTCTTATTACATCTGCCATTCTCCTCGACACGGTTACGCGAACAAAGTATCGTAGTTTTACGTTGATCCCGTTGTAGGATTCGTACTGCTTCTCCACGTTCTTGAAATTGAAAGGGAAGTTCTGAGGATGTTGTAATTCGCCCGGTGCAGCTAGCTCCTGACCAAGGGAGAGGAACTCGTAGTGGTTGCCTCGGTCAAAGAACATCTCTAGAGTCCAATATCAGCGATTGTTCCGTAGTCAGAGCGCATACTTGAAGGCATGTGGGACTCATCTCACCGATCAGACCAATGAATTGGACCTTGATACCAGTGTGCTCTAATCGTCTGCCATCTTTCGGCCGGATGGTAACCGCACCCTTGACGGACTCGCCATCCATATACAAAGGAGCCTTCTCCCTCCTATTCTTGTCGAGCTTGACATCGACGGTCTGTCTTTCATCGGTGTCTTCCAGGACTATGTCTATGTCGACTGGTGTGGAGAAGAAGAATGAAGACATGCTCGGAAAAGGCGCTTGGGCTTGGGCAAGGGGTTGATCTTAGTGATGCACGGCGCAATGCTTTTGTTTGTCCAAGCGCTGGAGTATCACCTCTTCAATGTGGCATATCGGTTGATATCGGTTGATATACAGAGTCTGGTCCACGGAGCTGCCCAGTTGACCTTGAATGGAAGCGCAGGGACAGGTGCCAAGACATGCGTACATAAGCAATCACCTCTTCCGCCTCGAGTGTTTACAGATGGTTGAAGCTGTCACCACCACCCAGCTCCCATCAATGGTAGAATCCATGATATCCCGACTCTCTAGAAGCCAAATTACTATCAGAATTGGCTAACCAACCCTTGTTTCAAGTAGCAACACTGGCGTGTACTCTTTGCGAACTATGCTATCTCGTATTGATGTGTTCCTCTACGCTGACCGTGACAGACACTCAGGTGGTCGAAATGCAGGAGGTATGCGCCATCCTCGACAGTATCTCCTTTCGGAATGAGCAGGCCCAGTCCTCGAGTTGAGTTCATGGTCACTCCCCGAAACACCACTTCCGGGACCTGAAGAAGCATATCGCATCTGCCCAACCACTTCCCAACAATTATCTCCACCAGGAAGGTACAATGAAATTCTGGGGGATCTAACAACTCCAGGAGCTGCGCGGAGAAGGTTCTGTCACTGAGAAGCCGTTCGTCCGTATTGGTGACACTGGTTCAAATGTGTTGGGCAGTATTCTCTCAGTCATGGTCCTGCTCTCCACCATGGATCAGCCGGATAGCCGAGACGCCAACACGAGGTTCATACATAGTGACTTGGGGACCCCCATTTTTGAGTAGGGAAGAAAGAATCACCGAGAATCCGAGATTTCCCGCGATCCTCGGTCCCCTAACTAGTCTGAAGCCAAGCCTGGAAAGCCCAGGGAGGACTTCACTTGACCCCGCATGCATGCATGCAGATGCCATGTGGAAAACGGGCTGATCCTTGGTGCGACTACAGAAGGAGCGAGTCAGACGGAAGCGAGACAAGCAGCCTGCTGTGGTGTGATCAGACAGCCAGGATGCTGTTGATCACACTCCCAAGCTACCGAGCTACCAAGCTACCAAGCTACCGTAGACTCGGGCGCATGATGCTCGTTCTGTCGGTAGGGACATCAGCTTTTTGTGGGACACTCTTGCTCGCTGGCACTGCTTGGGCATTGTTCCTGAGGAGGAGTCGACGATAGAGGCACACGACTGGCCCTGGGCGGAACTATGACTGCCTTACGGCAGCACCCTCCCGGACTCCCTCGCACGATTTTTCCAACCATCTCCGACTGACAGCTTTTACGTCAGGGCTCTTTTTCACTCTCTCCAGGTCACTTCTCCAGGTCATTTCTCCTAGTGTGGGGTAAAATTCTCGCAGTTCTCTAAGGACCGTACCATGACATGTTCCCAACCCATATATCGCTTTGCGGCTTTTTCTACCCCAGCAATATAGACCCAACGGCCTCTTCAACAATCTCCGGCACTATTGCTTTGTTGCTGTTTAATACAAATCTTTCTACCTCTTAGAGCAGGTCCATCTAGATGTCGTTCGGCTTGAACTGCGGTTGGTGATTACGTTTGTCTACCAACCCCTTCGTTCTCTCTCCAAACATGTTATCAGCCGGTCCAATCTCCAGCTTTCATGCACATCGCATTCCTTTCTCCTCCACTAGATCTCCCTTCACCATGAACGGCGGGTTAATTGAGCAGCAAGAGATGAAGCATATCTGGGTGATTACCGGGCCAGCCGGGTGTGGAAAGACCACGGTCGCCCAATATCTTGTGAAACAGCTGTCACTGCCGTATGTTGAGGGGGATGACGTGCGTGCTTACTTCACCTTTTCTACTTCTTCCACTTCTTCCACACTTCTTCCCACGCTTCGATCAGGCTGAGCTAATGACGTAGTATCACTCCAAAACCAGCAAACACAAGATGGCCAGCAATATCCCTTTGACTGATGACGACCGGTGGAGCTGGCTCATCGAACTACGCAAGGAAGCGATGAAGCGGCTCCAGAGTTCCCCTGGTGTCATAGTGACATGCTCGGCTTTGAAGCACAGATACCGAGACGTGCTCAGGGTAGCACACTACGAAAACCCCAATATTCAGGTCCACTTCATCTATCTCCGAGCAGATCGCAAGACGTTGCAAGAACGGGTAGCCAATCGCCAAAACCACTACATGAAAAAAGAGATGGTGAACAGCCAGCTTGACAATCTGGAAGAGCCTGAGGAGGAGGAATGGGATGCTATGAGCGTCGACGTGCGGAGCACACCCGAAGAGGTCCAGCACGCAGCTTTAGAAGTGGTGAAGAAGAAGCTGGCCGAATATCAACACCAGTCGTGACCATCGGCGCGTGTGCTGTTCGGCTGTCCGTTGTTCTTTTGAGCGTCTTATACGGTCAGAGACGGAGACCGTCACTAGAGCGTAGCAGTGGGAATGCGAATGCGAATGCAAATGGGAGTTGGGGGTTAGCTCGAGGGTGGTATGAATGGAAGACACTTGTTCCATAAATCGCAAAGGATAACCGTTGCTACAGTGGGACCAATGAATGCTTTGATGGTTAAGAAGATCTGTTCTACCGCAGAATCCTCTGCCTATGATGTTCTGGCACTAACGATGCTTCACTCCATTGCTATCGTACACGAGAGTTGCACAGCACCCTTCCCTTTTCAACCTCTACTTAGTCGTCCTGACCTTCTTTTCCCTCCTGGAGCAATTGCTGATGCCTTCGCAGCTATCTTCTTCGCCTTGCCCGCCTTGCCCGCCTTGGCCTCTTTGCCGGCTGGCTCCATGGCCTCTTGTCGACCCTCTACCTTTACCTTCTTGCCCTTCACAGTGGCATCTGCTACTGGCACATCCTCTTCACTCAGCTCCTCCTTGAATTTAGATTTCCTCTGCCGCTTAGCTGGTGGTGTCTTCTTCGCCACTCCATTGACGCCCGTAGTCTCAACATCCACCACCGCATCTTTCTGGTCTTCATCCTTACTCTTCCTCTTGTTGCCCACCTTAGCACCATTGCTCTTTGGCTTCTTGTCCTGAGCTTCTCCGCCACTCTCCGCCTCACTCATCTCCTTTGCTACCGGACCAGTCTTCTTTTGCACAGAGGGTACGACAGCGCTCGTGCGACCGCCGACTGTCAGAAATGTAATCTTCTCGCCGTTCGGCAAAGACTTGGGTGCGTCCTTCTTACCCTTGCCCCACCTGTGCTTGAAGAGCCAGTTCTCAGGATATCGGTCAGAGTCTGCTAACAGGTCCACCGCTTTGCCACAAATGTAATGGATCGATTCATGCAGCTGCGTGATCTGTTCCTCGGACAAAGTGTTGCTGTACTGCTCTGGGTGCATCTTCGCATGATACATGATCTCATCACCCACCCAGTTGCCGATCCCACTTATGTTCGCCTGGTCCAGCAGCAACGCTTTGATGGGTATCTTCTTCCTTCGACACAAGTCCAACAGCCAATCCACGGTGACTAGGTCTTTATCCACGACCGGATCTGGTCCATTGTCTTTCAGCGGACTAATGCTGCGAATCTCATCTGCTTTGCAATCCAACAAGCGAATTCTAGCAAACCGTCTCGAATCCACAAACGCCGCCTCGACCTGCGGTTCCTCCTTGGTCGCAAGATGAAACTTCCAAAATCGTGGCGGCCATTCCTCTTCCTCCTCCTCCTCTTCCTCGCCCTCTTTCTTTCTGTAGTAGTATGTATCCTCGCTTTTAATCTTCAGCCATCCCGTCATCCCAAAGTGCATCAACGGGTGCGGCGGTTTGTCCATAACAAACCAGAAGTATTTCCCTTGCTGACCCGCACCCCCGATCTTCTTTCCAGCGAGGGCCTTTTGGAACTCGGCGCCGCTGGTGCCGACCTTGCCGTAGACGTTGGCATCGTCCGCTGCGATGACTTTGGAGAGCGTCTTGCCGACCAGGTGTTTGCGGATGTAGTGCACTATGCGCGCAACTTCTGCTATTTCCGGCATTGTAGAGGCTCGAGGGTGAACTCGGCACGATAGAACTGTCGAAACGGAGGGAGAGACAGGTCAAGCGAAGTGTCTACCCAGAACTGAGGTACAGGCTCAGTTGAATTGAAGCATCGTGGTTTTGTGCAGCTCGATATTCAGTATTCGCGACTCTGGCGTGGGAGCTGGAGCCAGATCAAGAAAAGACGCGAAGAGACAGACGTTTGCAGGAAGGAGACTGATAGTCGCGGACCCAAGGATTGTTACGCGCTGTAATCAAAGTTCTAATAATTATGTACGGTATGACAGGCAAGGCGCATTTCTACCCTGCAATTGGTCGACGTCATGCCCTTCCACAATCGAGGCGTGAGCTCCCGTGATCAGACCTGGAAAGGCAAATACATACATACATACCAGCACTATTATTGATCCAGCACCAATATCAATCTATGTCACACAGATTCGGGCACCGAATGCCATTCAGCGACACTCTTCCATATCCCTCCTACAATACGAACGTCTAATCGTCAAGCTGGCGGGGTTCTGGAGCCAAGCGAGTCGGTCATCGCAGCAGGAGGAGTCGTCGTCGAGGCCGGTGCCAGAAGCAGCTACCATCTCCAGCAGCCATCCAAGTCGCTTCCTTCTCCCACCTCGCCTCCCCCACCACCACCACCGCTC